ATTTGTCTGATTTAAGAAAGATTTGGCCCCAAATTTGAGTTTTGCTATTCCTAGTTGTTGTGAAATATATAGCTCAAAGTATTTATAAGAAATATGCTTATGTGACAAGCTAGAGTGTGAGCATTTAGATGGAAATATGAGTAAAGGCCTTGGCACAATGGCTGGCACCTAAAAGAGCCTTGGTAAATATTAGCTTTATTATCATCGGTGATGTGAAGCATTCCTAATTTAATCTCTTATAAACAAAGTTTTTGTTTTGTTTTGTTTTTATGTCTACATCTGATCAGTGGTGTGCCTTGAATAAAATTATAAGCAGTTGTTTTTGCATGTTAGTATTAAAAGCTTTATACATTGTATTGAATTTCTTCCCTTTAGCCACTTTTCAATTCTTTTCAGCTTGAGTGGACTGCATTGTTCTTAAAATAACAGTACCTTGACTGTGTGAATTATTTTTAAATATTATACTTGAATAAAAAAAAATCCTCTACTTCTAAAATTTCTGCACTAATGATAACAATAATACTACTAATAATAAACAGCTGACATTTATAGACTATTTGCTATCTTTGACTTTCCCCTAAGTATTTATCATTTATCAACTAGCTTAATCCTCTTATCAATGCTATTTAGTAATCATACTGATAATTGATAAATTAGTAGATGCAAACAAAAAGAAGATAAATAATATGTCTTTAACCTATTTTATTCCCTCAGAAAAAGATAGCTTAAAAATAATAGAAGCTTAGAAAGCTTCTATTATAAGCTTAAAAATAATAGAAGCTAAGAAATTTCTTAGAAAACACACTTTAATTGCAAAATCAATTGTTTTAGAGGCACCAACTTTCAGGATACATATAGAATTTAAAAATTCTGATGAATTTATAACATTTTATATGCTTTCTTATAATTCCCTTCTGTGACAAGAGCAACTTATAATCTACACATTTAGAAAAAGTCCTGAAACAATATAGTCCTCATGTTGTACATTAGATCTTTAGAATTGTTTATCCTACACATGTGCCATTTTATGTCCCTTGACCACTATCTTTCCATTTCCTCTGCTCTAACCCACTGTTTCATTCTTCATTTCTGTATATTTGACTCTTTTTTGTTGTTGTTGCTTAGATTTCACATATAAGTGAGATCATGCAATATTTTTCTTTTTGTATTTGGCTTATTTCATTTAGTATAAAATCCTCTAGGTCCATGCAAGGTGTGGAAAATGGCTGAATTTCCCCCTTTTAAAGGCTGAAAAATATTTTATCCATTTATACACAATTTTTTATCCATTAAAAAAAACCTAGGTTTTTTTCCATATTTTGGTTATTGTGAATACTACTCAGTGAACAGAATTGTAGGTTTCTTTACGAGGCAGTCATTATATCATTATATTTTCTTTGGGTATATATCCAGAAGAAGATATTCTGAGTCCTATGGTAATTCTATTTTTAATTTCTTCAGGAGGCTTCATATTGTCTTCCATAATGGCTATAACAATCTATGTTCCTAGCAACAGGCTACAAGGGTTACCTCTTCTCTGGATGTTAGACAATAGTTATCTCTTGTCTTTTTGATAATACTTATCCTAATGTATGTGCTATGATATTTCACAGTGATTTTGATTTGCATTTCCCTGACAATTTGTAATTTTGAGTACGTTTTCATATACCTGTTGGCTATTTTTCTTTGGAGAAATATATGTTCAGGTCCTTTCCTCATTTTTTAATTGGGTTATATGTTTCTTTTGCTATTGAGTTGTATGAATTCTTTATACATTTGAATATTAACCCGTTAACTGATATATAGTTCACAATCTTTTTTCCTATATGTAGGTTACAGTTTCATTTTGTTGGTTTCCTTTATTTTGACTCCATCAAATTAATATTATATTAAAATCTTTGAAAAATAACCACTGCTAATTATATATTGGGAGACAATATATTTTTCTCAGGTATTCCTTTTGGTACTTGATTTGGTCTGTAAGTAATTAAATTAAGGATGAAATGTTGATTTTTTTAATATAGGTAATCACATAGGTTTAGGGCAATTAGAGATAATTTTCCTAAAAGTCTCACTTTATAAATGAGAAAATTGAGCCTGAGAGTTGTTAATGGTCCTTTCTTTAAGTTCTAAATCAAGGCAGTTTTGTAGATATAATAGCAAATGGGACCCAGTGATGTCAGCAATAGCTGAGAATCTGGCTTTGGGGGGATATGGAAGATTTTCAGAAACATTTAATGTTAACATCATTGATAGCAATAGAATGATAAAGGCTGAAAATCCTCTGTTCTATATCTGCAGACCTTTTTCTTTAATTTCTTTTCCAGAGTAGATGAGCAACATGGCAGTAGGATCTATATTCTGTGCCACACTCAGGCTGACATAACTTTCTATTGATTTTTTTTTTTAACTTTTGAAAAATTTTAATTTAAATCTAGCTTTGGGGTGACTTTCTATGAATCATCATTTAGTTTCTTTTTAAATCCCAGTATTTTATAAGTGTATATAGTCATTAAAAATGAAGCTTTGTCGTTGATGAAAAGTGAACTCAAATCTTGTTTCTTCCACTTTTTAGCTATGTGTGTGTTACTAAAGTACATGAATTATTTTAATTTTTTTTCATTCTTTAAATGCCCATCTCAATTGGAAGATATGAAAATTAACTGAGGCAAACCATTTAAAACAACTCACCTGGCCCTTGACACATGAAAATCATTTAGCAGATAGTGGTTAATCTTCACTTTGCAAAATTTGGAATTAAATAAATTCATAATTAATCTGTCTTTGCTAAGTGAAACAAAATTAGTTTCATTTTTTAAAGAAAAATATGCATATTTTAAGTAACAGGTATGATAGAACCTAAAAAATACATTTAAAATATGTTTATCAATGTACACACAAAAAGAAATTTAAAAGAATTAACTTGCTTGAAAGATGTTGGGAAATAGGCTAAGAGACGTGAAAAGTTTCAGAGGTTTTGATCTGTGGACATGTTAGTTCACAGAATAGAAGCTGCTTCCAACAAGGGAGGTGTTGTCAAAGGATGTTTGCAAAGCAACATTTCTTCTTTGCTGCCGGCCATTGACTTGAGCTTTTTTGCAAGGCAGAAGCTCGGTTTGGGTCCTTGGCAGAGAAGCTTATTAAAATGCCTGTCCAGCAGATAATGTGCAGCTGGAAGTATCCTAGACTTCAAGGCTATTCCTGCTTCATCCCTGACTACATGTTTCTGTGTTTAGAAGAAGTAGATTGATTAGAGTAGTACACAGACTCAGTGGTCTCATTTTATACATTTTATCTTTAATTTATATGCTCAGCTAGGTCTGTTTCTAACTTGGAGCTTAGCATGCTTATCTTAAAAAAATTGTGTAACCGTCTATTCTTGTAGACAGAATTAGGTAAGGTTCCCCTGGAAACCTCAAAAAATTAACTGTACACGTAATTCTCTAACAAAAGATAACTATTTGCTGTAACAATAAATACTGGTGTGGGACTTCACTCATGGTCTCACAGCTCACAGGAATGCTGGAGACCCTCTACCTCCCCCATCATTTAAACTGCACTTTGTCTCTGTCTCAATCATTTCTCAGTTTATACTGTTCCTTTATTTCTTACTATTTCCAAATCCCTTGTGATTGTCCTGCCTTGGGCCCTGATTTGCTGGGAGAGTGGCTAACTCCCGGCAAAAAGATTGCAATAAAATAAACCCTTAATTTTTATATTTTCATTTTGTTGATTTAAAATGGAGAATACCATGTTGCCCATTATGTCAAAAGAAGTTTTTATCCCATTACCTAAGAACAAATAAAAGGAATCATTAATACAATAACAATGTTAATAATTAAGTGTAAAACCGGCCATTTGTGAAGTACTGACAATGCATTAGAAACTGTGCAATGCCTTTTATATTTATACTTTTATTTAATATTCACAATCAGTCCAGGAGATGGAAACTGAGTTTTGCAGATGAGGAAACTGAGGTACAGACATTTACCCATGATAACAGCTGTTTATTAGAAAGGCAAAGATGTTAGCCAAGATATTGAAGAGTTCATTTCCTAACCTTGCACTTATATAGAAGAGGCAGTGCATTACAAGGGTGTGAAGTGGCTCTAGTGATCTAAACGGATACAGAATCTATGTTGATAAATATTTAATATCAAGATAACTCTGCTAATGCTATCTTTTCCAGCAGAATGCAGAGAAAGTGGAGTACTAGGGAAGTTATCATCTTGAAATACACACACACACACAATCCTTGCTATTAAACTTTGACATGATGATTTAAACATTTTCCAGATGATCTATGCAACAAACATAGAATATCATTTATAAGATGTTGAACAATTTCAATATAACCCAAATTTCTCAATATCATATAGAGTTAAAATCGGCATTACCAAGTACAGTTTTTCCAATTAATGATGAAGCTGTTGTCACTAAAGAGGAATAAGATATTAAGATCTCTGTTTCTCCCTCCCTCTCGATTCTTTTACAATTCAATGACTCAAAATTTACCAAATGCCTTTTATGTGAGAACACTGAGAATGAAAGAGTGGGTGAGACATATACTGAGTGAGTTTGAGAATTGAAAGTGAGGAATTGGCTCTATCATTTACCAGTATTATGAATCTAAACAAGATGCAAATAAAAATCTTCTCATTTCTTGGCTGAGTGCAGTGGCTTATGCTTGTAAACCTAGCACTCTGAGAGGCTGAGCCAGTAGGATGGCTTGAGGTCAGGAGTTCAAGACTCAGCCTGAGCAAGAGTGAGACCCCATCTCTACTAAAAATTGAATAAATGAGTCTGGAGTGGTGGTATGCACCTGTAGTCCCAGCTACTCGGGAGGCCAAGGCAGGAGGCTTGCTTAAGGCCAGGAGTTTGAGGCTGCTGTTAACTTGTGAACCAGGCTGACACCACGGCACTCTAGCCTGGGTGACAGAGGGAGACTCTGTCTCAAAAAAAAAAAAAAGTTGTCTTATTTCTGCCCAGTGATTTTTAGGTTATTTGATACCCAAACACAATTTTTCTATAATTCTGTTTAGCGCATTTTTTACTTCCTGATTTCTCAAGCTATAGATCAATGGGTTTAACATGGGAATCACCACCACAAAAAACACCAAAGCAAATTTATCTAAATTCATAGAATGGCTTGACTTGGGCTGGAGGTATGTAAAAATGTGTGTTCCATAAAATATTGTGATGGAGGTCAGGTGGGAAGCACAGGTAGAAAATGCTTTCTGTCTTCCTTCAGCAGAATGAATCCTCAGGATGGCAAAGAAGATGAAGACATAAGAAATTACCACAATCACTAGAGAGCAAAGGATATTGAACCCAGCGATGATTAAAAGCATCAGTTCTTTGACGTGAGTGTCAAAACAGGCCATAGCAACTAAAGGAACATCATCACAGTAGAAATGGTTGACCCTGTTGGAGTTACAAAAAGATAATCGAAATGTCGCCACTGTCTGTACAAGACCCACAGTGAATCCGTAAACGTATATGCTAGCAATCATTCGAATACAGACTTTCCTGGGCATTAGAATGACATAAAGTAAAGGGTTGCAGATGGCAACATACCGATCATATGCCATGACTGATAGCAAATAAAATTCACAAACTGCAAATGTGATGAAGCAGCATACCTGAATGGCACATGCAGAATAAAAACTGAATTTTATTTTGTCTACTCTAATGTTGACTATTTTCTATTGCTCTGAGTTGTAAACCAATATTTTGAACTACTGATTATAGAAATAAATAGATCTGATTGTATATTCTGTTATTATTTAACATATTCTATCATATGTTTTAGCTGGGATTTAAAGAATATCATGCAAAATATTTTAGTATTTACCATCAGGGTACTTATAAGTCCAACTAAATACAATGTAAACTTATGCTCAAATGTGAATCATAGAAAATGGGAGAAACACCACATGCCCTTGTGAAGGTTATGGCACTCATTTTTCCAAAGTGTACCGCTTATCTATGCTGGAAATTAGATTATAGCTCCTCTTGTATTCTGACTTCTAAAATCTCTCTACATTTGTCACTCCTGTTCATCTTTCTAGTGGTTTATTCTTTATCCACTTTATCCACACATCCAGCAATTGACCAAGTTGTCATTTTCCCCAGCCCTTTCTTCCCAGGTGGCACTTGTCCCCATTTAAGAAATCATGTGAAGACACAATGTGATACTTGGGATTATTAAGATTGTTATGAATTATGAAATATTTTTTAAAAATTATCTTTCATACTTAAATTTTTCAATTGGTATTTTCTTTTTTTTTTTTATAATTATTTTTTTTATTTTGGTATATTATGGGGGTACAGATTTTAAGGTTTCAATAAATGCCCATTTCCCCCCCTCCCCCCAAAAGTCTGAGTCTCCATCATGACCATCCCCCAGATGGTGCACATCTCACTCACTATGTATGTATATACCCGCCCCCCTCCCCCCTCCCACCTGCCCAATACCCTATTACTGTAGCACCTATGTGTCCACTTAGGTGCTACTCAGTTAATACCAGTTTGCTGGAGAATATATCTGGTGCTTGTTTTTCCATTCTTGGGATACTTCACTTAGTAGTATGGGTTCCAGCTCTAACCAGGAAAATATAAGGTGTGCTATATCACCATTGTTTCTTAGAGCTGAATAGTACTCCATGGTGTACATATACCACATTTTATTAATCCATTCTTTGATTGATGGGCATTTGGGCTGTTGTTCTATTGAACTCCTTCAATGAGAAACTATATAGGTTGATTAATAAAGTTTATTTTCTTGAAATTGAATTGATAGTTCTGAGTCATATGTTCTTTGCATTTGTGTAATCACTGTGGTGGGAGAGTTTGAGATGTTTACATTAATCAAAGCAATATGCAATGTTTTGTACATCTTTGAGGGAGGAATTTTATTCTTCTTAGTCTACATGAATGGCACACTCTAGAATAACATAGTGCCCAGCCTTCACAATGTCATGTGGTGTTTCTGCCTTTCCCCATTTTATCATTTGGAAATAATTTTCCCATGCATATTATAAACTACTCAAGGAATGCTGGTTTGAGGAAGATGATTTAATTTTTTCAAAAAAGTTTTCTGACATTGGGGCCTGGTGACTTTTCTTTTTCTTAGTTCAGTAGCTCAACAATATCAGAGTCAGTATGTTTGCCACTGTTTGCCCTTAAATTAATTCCCATATAGCTGAAGTTCTCATAAAATGATTAAAGTTCAATATGGAGAAGGTGAGAAGGAGAATAAATAATTTCCTCACCTGTTGGGGAAGGGTCATTTATCTATTATTTGTCCCTGGTTGAATTCAACCTACATCTCATTAACAGTCTCCAGTTAAAAAATAAATTCTGCTTTTCCTTAATCTTCCTTCTTCAAAGGTGGCTGATCTTATTAGGATAGAAATCAAGAAAACCTGCTTTGATATTTCTTTTTCAGCATAATTCTAACTACTCAATACTAACTCATGCTATCCCCTTCTTTGCAATTTATTACAAATCTTCTCAAGCTACCTGCATTCATCTGCTTTATGATAGCTTTTTGTTTGGTTTTTCAATGACATCTGAACTTTATTGGCATAAGGGCACCCTACTCCTACTCCCTCAATGCCATAGAACTTGGGTGTCATCAGTCTCAGACATACTTTGCCGCCCACTGTCCTGTGGATGTGGTCTTTTGGATGCTTTGCACGGAGTTGCTGCTGTCCAGGACATTAATCACCACGATCAAAGTCTTCCCCATCTTATAGCAGGCGGTGGTAGGTGGCGATCCCAGCCTCCAGTTTGACCTTGATGTTCAGTAGGGCCTGGTACTCCTGGGCCTGGTGCTGTCCCGCTGCTCGGATCTGTGCCAGCTCTGACTCCAGGTGCAGCAGGACCCTGTTGAGCTGCCCCGTGTGCATGTGATAGCTTTTTATTTGAGTAAAGTCACTCTTACATAATGGACTGGTTGGTTTATACTTCTGTGAGTCAACTTCTTTATTGATTAGTTATGTCTTTCTTGAATTTATTTTACATGGTTGATATGGTTCTAGGTATTCACTGCTTTTTCTTTATTTTAAAATAGTTAATTGACAGAAAATTATATGTTTTCAAGGTGTACAGTGTAATAATATTATATATGCATACATCATGTAAATATTATTACCGTCAAAGTAATTAATACATCTATTTACTACTCATAGTTCCCTTTTGTGTGTGTGTGTGTTTGTGTGCGCATGCAGGTGGTGAGGACTCTTGAAATTTGGTTCCCATCAAATTTCAAGTAAACAATGCAGTGTGATGGACTGGAGATAGTGCTGTACATGAGGTCCCCAGAACTTATTCACCTTATAATAGATCTCTCTGCTGTCTCTCCTCTTCTAATTTGAAACATGCCAAAGTGAAATTTTACTCTCTGTCATTTAAGGGTGACATAAGTGGAGCAGAATGAATGACATGAAGAGACAATGTAGGGTATGTGTTAAGGGTATAAAATCTGGAGCTAAATCACCTCGTTTTGAAACCTGGTTCTAATACTTAATGCCTAGGAGAACTCTGAAAATGTACTTACCCTCTCTAAGCCTCTATTTTATTTTCTGAAATAGGAACCTTTTTTTTTTATTTTCTAGCAATTTCTTTTTTATTTATTTTTTTACTCATAGTTGTTCATATTTATGGAGTATATAGTGATGTTTTGATACATACAATATTTGGTGGTGAAATCAGTGTAATTAGCATATCCATCACTTCAAACATTTATCATTTCTTTGTATTGGGAACTTTTATAAAATTGCCTCTGTTAACAAGCAATAAAAATGGAACTGTTAACAGAAGCTACCTCACAGAGCTTTTGTGATGGGTAAATTAATTGAAACATAAAGAATCCTTATCATATAGCATTCAGTAAATGTGAGATATTATTATTACCTGATATTTCCTATAACTATCTTAAAGATTCATTTTGACTACAGCAACAATATGGTAATATTTATCCTTACATGACAATGTACTGTGTACTTTTAAATTTTATTTCAATAAAAAATACTCATTCAACTTTCATTGGCTGCACATGGAATTTTATTTTATGATGATGAACTGAGGAAATATTCTAGAATCCGATACCTTCAATAAAATGTTAAGATTATTAAAAAAGAATAAAAATGGCCAAAATTACTTGGGAAAATTCTGAGAGTTACACAGAACAACTATGTCCAAAAAGCCAGATAACTTTACCCTTGCCTTCGTATCAGGCCTCTCTGTCGCAAGAGTGAAGATCTGTCACCACCAAAGTACATCCACAATGGCCAGCAGAGAAATGCGGTACAGTGTAATCCTTGTGATTATTTTTATTTACGTCTCACAAGTAGAACAATCAACTGATGTAGTCAAATAATTAAAGTCAATGAAAATATAATGCATCTTCAATATTGATCAAAATTGAGAAAGTCAACTCAATGAAAAAGAGGCAACGCAATTAATTCATCATAAAATGGTCTTCTTACCAAAGAAGCAGAACAACTGGAACACAAGTTTTATACACAGGTAATTATATGTTTTTTTTAGGTAAGTAGGAAAATAACAATCTGTGAAAAAAATAGGCAGTTATTAAGCAAGAACAACAACTGGTTGAGTGAGACAAAATCAGGTGATAATCAGAATTTAGGAATTACTGAGCTACAATGTATGTTCAAACTCATATGTGAAAATAAAGATATAAGTAAAGAAAAAGTGGAATCCCAAGACTTGGAATAGTTATTATTTGAGCACTTTCATTAAGACTTAAAATCATCACATATCATTTAAACAACCAGCACCAAATACAGTTCTAAAATGTATCAGTGAAGGCTTAAACAGAATGAAAGAGCTCACATACAAACACACACAGACTCACTCACAAGCACTGCAAATTTTACTTCAATAGCTGATAAAAACACTAGAGAATCTTTGCCACCCTCCTCTGTGATTACTGCCACTCCCTACTGTCACTCAGCATACTAACTTTCCTTGCATCCTTTTTCTTCTTTTTGGTCTATATCCATCTAGCACATTTTACTGTTCTATAAAATTGACTTACTCTGAATATAATTTATTTATAACTCTCAAGGAAGAAAAGGATTTAAAATGTTTTGTTCATTAATCTATGTACAGCAATTAGAAAAGCCTGTCATATATAAGACAATATGTAAATATATGTTCAATCCATCTGCACTTGTTATTCCTTCTAGAGTCATACAGAGCAAATATTGAGGCCTACTTCTATTTTATAGGAATCACAGTATATGAAAATTTAAAGAAAAATATTGCGTAATTTATGCCAAATCCTTTGTAGGGCATATTTTACATCTTTGTTCCTCAAGCTATAGATCAAGGGATTCAACATGGGGATAACCAGAGTGTAAAATATAGAAGCCACTTTATCAGTGTCAAAGGAGTGACTTGACTTCGGCTGTACATACATAAATATCAAAGTCCCGTAGAATACTATGACCACTGTCAGGTGGGATCCACAGGTGGAGAAAGCCTTGTGCCTGCCCTCAGCAGAGTTCATCCTGAGAATGGCTATGAAGATGAGCAGGTAAGACACAAGAACTACAAGAAGGGATGAAATCAAATCAAAAGCTGCTAAGATCAGAATTATCAATTCAATCTCATGTGTATTTGAGCAAATTAAAGATAACAAGGGAAGACTGTCACAGTAGAAATGACTGATGACATTGTAGCCACAGAAGGACAAAGTAAAAAGCTTTATGGTGACCAGCAGAGAAACAAATGTGCAGTAGAGATAGGGGATTGTCACTAGCACATGACACACCCTTTGTGACATGATGACTGTGTAGAGCAGAGGGTCACAGATGGCCACATAGCGGTCGTATGACATTGCTGACAGAATAAAAAGTTCACTAATGATGAACAGTAGAAAGAAAGCTAGCTGTATGGCACAAAAATAGTAGGAGATTGTATTTTGATCCACAACAAAATTTACCAGCATCTTAGGTCCCACGGTTGTTGAATAACCAAGATCGGTGAGAGCCAAGTGTCTGAGAAAAAAGTACATGGGTGTTTGTAGATTGGAGTCCACCTTCGTGAGGATGATCATGCCAAAGTTGCCTACCACTGAGATCACATAGATGGTGAGGAACAAGGCAAATAATGGAGCCTGCAGCTCGGGCCGATCTGTGATTCCCATCAGAATGAATTCATTCACCACTGTGAGGTTGTGCTTTTCCATCTCAGTTTATCAGAAAACCTATTCTGGACAGAGATATCAGCATAGTCAATGTCTCTTCTGTATTACCACCTGGGAAATTTTTTAGAATGCAAAGCTAGTATAAATAAGATATACACAAATTTCCCAATTTATACTATTTACAAATAATCCCAACATTCATAAATAAAAATATCCATAAGTAGAATCTGAGATAGGTGCAGAGACAGAGCAATCATTTTCAGTTGTGTTTCATTCATGAAACGGCATTTTCCAATGTCTAGAGACATTTTTTGTCACCATTTGGATATGGGCTACCATGTGCAACTAATGGTTAGAAGCCAGTAAGTTTCTAAACATTCTATTGTAATCAATATTCAGCCCATCACATTATCCAGACCAAAATATCACTAGTGATAAACAGATAGATGGATGATAAATACATAGATATAGATAGATATCTATATAGATATATAGACATATAAGGTATGTCTAGTAAGTATCCAGCCATGTAACTATTCTCATTATATTAACAATGGCTGGATACTTTCCAGACAGACCTCGTAGATATATAATAGAAAGCAAACATTTTAAAGTTGAAAAAATGTTAAAATGGTGGCTGTTGATGTACAGATGATTACTGTACTATTTTTTAGAGTTTTCTATATAATTGTGATCATATATTGCCAGAGCCAGCAGGCGACGTGCGGCACCTGGAGTTAGGGGGGGAGGATAAGAAATAAAGAGACAACACACAGATGGGAACAGGAACGGGAGGACGGAGTCTGTGAGGACTGCTGTGCCACATTTATTTTAGGGGCTATATTTATACAGACAAGATCAAAAGGGAACTGATACAATTGAACAACTAGTACTTGCTTACATTAGTTCAGAAACCAGATAGCTCTGGTTTTTTGGGCTATAAACTAACTTCATGGATTTTCTATGGGTTGAGCAATTTTCCCATCACCTAATCTAAACCTTAACTTCTTCTAAGATCAATAGGGCTATAAATACCTGACTAATCAGTCAAGGCAGCCCAGGCTAAAGAACAATCAGGAATGACTAACAGGGCTGCCTAGGGTAAAGAATACTTAGGACTACAGGACACACTATTCAAAGAGAACTACGGGCAACTGATTACCTCAGTGATTTTCCATGACTGCAGCTGTATTTCCTATATCCTCCGAAGCCAAGGAGAAAGGTCAAAATGTCAGAGCTTTGATTCAGGGCAGGTGCTATGTCATTAAAGACCCCAGTGTTCCGGGCAGCAGCCATGCCTAGAATCGTCCGTGTTCAGGACAGCTCCCGACAATATATAATCATGTTTATAAATTACATTTAGTAATATGGCATAATATAATTTCAGTTTTATAAAAATATTCATGCCACAAGTTCTGAAGATGCATAAAACCACCTACAGCAAACTCTTATCTCTAGTGGTAGAACAAAGGAGAATTTAATACAAATAAGAACACCATAACATATCACAGTGACAATTATTTTTATTTTTATAGAGAAAAGTACTAGGATATATATATATATATATGTATATATATATATACATATATTCTATGCTATATCTTAATTTATGTTATATTCAAAAGGTGACTTTGGAAAAATAGTGTAAGTTATCTAAAACTTTTTATTCTCACATATAACACCAACATGTTCTTGCAGGGTTGTCGGGAAGGATGGGAGAAGATTAAATGGTTTCATGTGTCTATGCCACCTAGAAGTATTTCTCACATATCAAGTACATAGTGGTTTTCTGTATTGGCTTGCTTTTGTTTTGGTGTCTTGAATTGTGACAACACCTTACCTGAAAGAGACTTTCTTTGAATATGTATGTGTAAACTCTCCTGAATGTGAGTTAACTTCTTTGCCAGGATAACAATGATGCACAGGTGAGGATCAGGTCAAGTAGGATGTTAATGCTTACAACTTATCCCACTCTTTGCACCCCAACCCCACTCCATGACTATAATTAGGCAACCAATGTCTTATTGTTTGGGATTATTTATCTTGTATTTTTTTCACAACTACATTAATAACATTTTAATATAAATTATTTTGACATAAATTTACTTAACTATTACTCTTCCTCTAAGAGCATTCTCATTATAATTGAGATATACTGAATTGTATGTAAAAAGTTAAATAAAGGTACTTTATCATGCAAAATCTTAGGGGAGTATGAGGAAATCTGAGCACACTGGGAGAAAGAATGATCATTGGCATTGGTTTTGTATAATGAAAATTCATAAAAACTCCCCCTTGTATAAAGAGATAAGATAGATTAAAGAGAAAAATGACATAAAATCACTATGGGACACAATAACATAGAGACAAAATGAAATACACCAAAGATGATATATATATATAGATTCCTGGCTGTGATTTGAGATGGTTCTGAGCATTTAGGCCAGAGAGACTTGGACCTATGATATAGCACATAATGCAGATAAACATGTGTGTAATCAAATAAACATGTATTTAAATTCCCCGATGACTCACAGATTTACAAGATTTCAGGACAGGAAATGGAGGACATGTTAAGGTAAGAGATTATTATTGGTTTAAAAATTATAAGCCCCAATGCTTCTTTATTTAAAAAAGAAGGGAAATTATATTGTTTACAGTGAAAATTATAATGATGGCAGTCTCTGAGTGATAAGCAAAAATAAATACTTACCATTATATAAGATTAAATATAAAAGTTATGTTTAATTTGAACTTAAATCAATTAAAATATTTCTTAGAAAATTGTGATCTCCTGTTATCCTACCTTGACCCTATGAACACATCTTTCCTATATTAGAGAAATACGAAGAGTTGTATCAAGAGTTAGTAATATTAGAAAATATATTTAATAAGTACAATAAAAAGCAATATAAATCATGTGTTTTGTTTACTTGTTTTGTATTATTTTTACAATTATGAGAGACTAAAAAATAATCACAGCTGGTAAGTACCTATTTTCTTCTTAAGTAAGGAAGATAAATGTATTTTCTCTCATTAGTTTTGGAGTTCTAGGGAAAGAACCAGATTTTTTTTTCTATATTTCACTATTTTGTTCAACATCAATTGTATTTTTAAAAGCTATACTTTTTGATAAAATCATATCTGCTTTTTGGCAAATCCTATTGGATACTGAAGTATATTATGATTTTTTTTTGTATTTTACCATAATACTGGATAGTTAAAAGTCTCCTAATCTTCAAATACCTTACATCTGAATATAAGATAGAAACCCCCTTTTTCATCATCAAGATATCAGGAAATTATCATATTTACATATTTATATTAATAATAATTTAATATTAAATTTTTAAGAGGGTCACAAGGAAGACTAAATAAGTATTTGAAAGGATATGAATATGAGTTATAAAATAACCATAGCTATTTATTCTTTCATTAAAAAATACTCATATCCTTTTAATTATACTTCATTCGATGTTAGCTTTGTCCTCAATTAGAGAGAATTGTTTGTGTAAAACAAATATTTTATAAGAAAAAATACCATGATGGTGTTTCGAAGATGCTTATGAACATTCAGCCTATCACACCATATAAAATATATGAAACTTTATATGAAGGAAAAAAGAGAAAGGTCTTATTTCTGCTCAGGTATTATTGAGTAGTAGAAAGCCCAGACACTTGAATAAGAAATGGTCACATTTTGCTACGATTGTGCGATCAAATCAAAGTGGAACTTTACAATGTCACTGAATCATTGATATCTATAGCATAGGACACCCCATAAAACATTCAATCCTTTTTACCTGTAATGAATTCTCTGTCTTGCCTTTCCCATGTGTTTCTCATACAGCACAGTGATTACAATTTATGGATGTTTTCACCTTTTGAGATTCTCCCTGAGGAAATTCCAAGCAATTTGTTGATAACACCCAAACTATTTGTGAGAATAACAAAATGCCTGGAGGCTGTCCATTGTCAAGGGTAATTCATATTCACTAGTATATTAGGATGCTGTAGATAGGATGTAGATATAGATATATGGGAAGGGTTATATTATGAGAAATTGGCTTAGGCAATGATGTAGGCTGATAAGTCTCATGATTTACTGTCTGCAAGTCCCAGTCAAGCTGGTGGATAGTTCAATTCCAAACCTGAAGCCTTGAGAACCAAGGGATGCAGGGGGGTAGGTCCTAATCTGAATCCAAAGGCTCTAGAACCTGGGAGTCCAATGTCTGATGGAAAGAGAAAAAGGATGTCCAGGCTTAATCAGGAAACAAACACATCCTTCATCTGCCTTTAGGTTCTTTCTATTCAGGGCTTCAGCTGACTAGATTGATGCCAACCCCCATTAGTGAGGGTGGTATTCCTTATTTAGTCTACCAGTTCTAATCTCTTCTAGAAACGACATCACATACCCAGAAATAATGTTTACCTGCTATCTGGACATGGTATGTCCCAGTCAAGTTGACACACAGAATCAACCAATATTAATCTACCACCTTGTAAACTTGGCACCTGTATGCATCTCTTTAAACCATACTTAGTCTCCAAATAACAAGAATAACATGGTCATAGTTCTGCTTTACATGATAAATGATACAGGTATCCTGTGTACAAATGAAAACTCATTAATCCCTTGATCAGAAGAGGAAGTATATTCCTTGGGTGTTGTCTGCTTCTCTCCTGATATCCCTTGACTAAAATTATACGATGTAAAATTAACAGTATTCAAATACTGATATAATGTTAATCTATCTTACAGTATATGATAAGGGATTAAGAGAGGAAAGAAACTCTTTTCTTAATATATGTACACAAACACACACAAATATAACAAAATTAGTAGGGAATTCTCATGACAATTATAGCCCTCATTTCTGTAACTGTTCATGTGATTGTAGCTGGTATTTATAACTGTCTTCTATTATCCATGCTATATTCCCTTTGTTTTTAGGAAGCACCTCAGCTGGTCATAGTTTTTTTCCTCATGGAGTGACCCGAACCTTTATTCCTGAAGGGTCTGGGCCATTGCTAGTTCTGCCTGGTTTGGGCTGCTGTAGTTTCCATTGGATTTAAACTCATGGCATGGTGATACCAAGAGATGGCCTGAGGGATGCTCTGCATTCTGGACTTGTTCTTCCTTATCTCCATTGTGAGGTAGTAGCTCACTTTCCCTTTGTGAGTCAGGATCAGTCACCTCAGCTACTGTAACTCGCTCCTTTGCCTGAAGAGCCCAAAGAGGCCAAGGAAGAGTATTAAGGCCTAATTCAATGAAATAATTGGTGTGTCTCCCTGGTGCAAGCATTCGTTCCTCTGAAACTAAGACCTGCAGGCCAGCAAAGCTAAAGTCAGCAGAACAGGAAGCACCAAGTGTGCGAGTGGGGCACTACCGGTAATTGTAAATGGTGCTACTCCTATTTCCACCTCTTCATTTATACAGCCCTAAATCCAAACTATGGGAATTAAAAAGGTAAGAATCGACTATTGGCTGTCTATATGGAGTACAATTTACTCCCAAATACATAAATAAATTGGAAATAAAATCGTGGAAAATTATTCCATGCAAGTAATAATCATAAGAGAGTTGGAGTGGCTATGTTAAAACTATAAAAAATAACTTTTCTAACAAAATAGAATATGCTACTAGACAAGGAGAAATACCTTTTAAAGATTACAGGAGAATATCAGTAAATTTAGCAACTGTATATCCATGTACTAATGACTCAGGAGCTCAGAATATCTGAAATAAAAACTGGCAGATAATAAATATAAAAGAAAAACATAATTTAACTTGGCATTCTAATATGTCTTAATTGTTTATAGAACAAATAAAGGGAAAATTGACAAGACTATAGAAGACCTGAGCAGTGCTATCTATAAGCTTGAGATGATTAAAATGTATAAAAAAATTATTAAGCAAATGATTGTTTAGGGGAGGGTTTCCCAACTCTGGCACTCTTAACTTTTTGGATTGGACAATGTTTTTTGTGTGAGGTGCTGTCTTGTGAATTGCAGGTTATTTTGCAGCATGTATTCTTTCTCCCTTCTAGACAATAATATTCCTGCATACCATCCTGTTATTCATGAAAATCAATCATATTTATTGGCAAATGTCTTCAATGGGAAAACTCACTTCCAATCAAAACCACTAGTTTGCAGTTCATTGTAGTTTAATTATAAAATGTTATTGGCTTTAACTTGGAATATATTATGTAAATTTAATTTCAAATATGTTATTAAAACATTCTATCTATATATTATTAAAGTGCTCTTATAATCATAAACTGGGTATTCTAGCACCATCGTTTTTATCTATTCTAGGCAACTACCTAGTTGTGGGGGCTATCAAATGAGATGATAAATTCTTAAAAGACTTTTTTTATATGAGAATTAGTATTTTATATAAATTCCTTTGGTGCTTTCTACATATAGAATATGCTTCTAAGTGGAACTTGCTTACAAAGAATACAGACGATTTTATTTTACAGTGAACAGATCTTTATTGATTGACAACTAAAACCAAGACACTCTACTAATTTTATTACTCTGCAGTAAACAGATCATGAAGGTAAGTCCACTTTTGTTTACGCAGGTTGGCTTCTTAATTTCACAAACACAGAAGCATAGTTTCTATCGATGATGACTTTTTCAAGGCAACTTTCACACCCTTGTTCCTGAAATTGAAGATCATGGGGTTCACCACGGGGATGGTCACTGTAGAGAAGATAGAGGCCGCTGTACCTGTGGCAAGAGAATGGTTAATCACAAAGTGGGGCAACTTCGACTTCTGATGATCCGTGAGGCCCAGGAGAGTAAACTCCTTTTTTGGGTGCGATTTATCTGAGCCATGTGTTTTCAGGCAGATGGATGAAAGGCTAGAGAGAAGCATTACTACGTCCAAGTGTTATTTTTATACTTTAATTCCTTTAAGTGGTGTTTTTATGTTTATTACCTTGTGAAGAGTTTTTGATCCAAACATAGGGGTTTTTAATATACTGGGATTCCTAGAATGGGATGAAGAGAATAAAGATATGTTTGTAGGAAAGGCATATTTCTTTTCACCAAACCCATTGTACATACTAAGATAGGAGCTACCAAATTAGCATGGTTTCTGTTCAAAGGTCTTCTATAGTAAGTCATTTAAAATTATAATCTGATTTGCAAAAAGACTTTTGTTTTCATTGAACAAATATTGACATTAATAACATACAATGAAATGAATCCTATGCAGTCCTTCCACTCTGACAAATTTGTCACTGGACCTGTGTAGACACAACAGCATGTTGTCTCCATGCTGCCAGAAATAAAGTTCTATGTTTTTCTATTTTAGTTTAATAATTTGTCATTTGCAAGTCACTATAGATTCCAGAATAATCTCATTTATGTTAATGCAAATGCTAAAAATAGCTAACTTTATGAAAAGCACAGTGGGGTGTTTAGTTGCTTCATTTTATCTCACTACACCTTGATGTAAAAATCATATTATCATGTCCATTTTACAGATTAGAAAGAGGATAATAATACACAACTACCTGAAACAAAGTCAGACAGCTGATTGCAGAACAGTTGGAATTCAAATTCATGTTCTGATTTGGGAGTGCACACCTTATGTTTACTCTATTGTTGAAAACATATTTATTTCCAGATTTTTCCTGATAGAACACTATATAAACATCTTTATCTCTAACGCATGAACTTATATGATCAAAAGGAATGAATCCTTACATAATCTTATAATATACTGCATATTAGAATAAAATAAATTTTGTTTTCCAAGAGATTTAGAAATATATATTTCTTTATAAGTCAGTTTATATCACTTTCAACTTCTTTTTTATTTTATTAAAGAAACATATATTTGAATTATCAGTTTTGCATTAATTTGTTTCTACTATATTTAAAGTGGGATACATTTCTATGACCTTTTTCTTATTCATTTTGATGGATTTTATATTGAATTATTGACTAAATAATGCTAAATGTCATGACGTTCTTCTTCCCCACTACTTTTTCTTTTCTTTATTTTCTCTTTCACCTTTATGTCTAAAAAATGGAAACAAAGCTATTTAGAAAAAGGTTGTAGATTGCTCTATACACTCCTGAAATTTCAATGGGAATAAACATACAAGTAAAATAAGAGCCCATTTTTTCACATTTTCCTCAGAATTTACTCATACTATAGTGTATATGCAACTATAGCTCAATTTACATCTAACGGATACTTTCTTAGAAGTGTGAATCAAATTTATCCATTCTCTCCTTCAATAATATATAGTGAGAACTATTAATTTCCAAACAGTACATACATACAGTGCAATGAAAGAACAGACAATAGACCAGACTGGAAAGAAACTAAACTTTATCTAACTTTCCTCTATTTTTCTGGTCTCTTTTCCTATAAATTGTTTTTTCCACTTTCAAAACACAAAACTTTGAAACATATGTATATATACAAATAATTTTACTTTGGTTTCAAGGAAGATAATGCATCATATTTGAAAAAGTACATGAAAGGTCTTTTGCCTATTTTTTAATCCAATTATTTGTTTTTCTTCCTATTGAGTTACTTGAGTTCCTTATATATTCTGGATATTTATCCCTTATAAAATAAGTTTTCTACAATTCTGTAGATTGTCTCTTCATTTTGTTGCCCATTCTTAAACTAGGGCCATTTATCAAGAATTATGTAATAAAATAAAGGAAACAATGCCCAGTCTCCACTAAAAGATTTGTCACAATGTTAGTCTAACTGATAAAATAAAACTTTTTACCTGAAAGGATTCATATTTATTCTCTTTTAAGTAAGAAAAAAAGCTCTTTGGATACTTTATCAATTAGTAGAAATAATTTATTAGCCAAGAGTTTCTTTTACTAATTTTACCTGTTTTCACTATCTGTCCAATGAGTAAAGACATTCCCACTGAAAGAAAGGGTTGAGAAATTATTTTATTGATTTCAGACCCCTCTTATATGGTAGAGGATTCTGAGCAGAGTGTTGCTTTCCATAGAATTATTTCAGCATAATAATGACACTCAAAGGCCATGGGAAACTTACTGAATTTTAATGATTATCTAGGTTCGCTCAGTTGGTTGATGATAGATTGAGACTCTAGAATGGCTTATAAGCAAATCCAACATAAAAGCATATTCAGTGATGCTACTCTGTCTTCTACTTAAAAATTATATTAATGCTATTAATTGGTATCAAATAATTCAGCCATATTTTGATTCTCATTTGAAGTATATATTGATAGTCCATACACACTTGGTAATTCAAACAATATTAAGAAAGAGTTGGAGAGTTGTATTTTAAATAGAATTGTCATTTCAATTTTGCTAACTTATCTGTAAAAGGGATTTTAGTCATTTTTAATTATAGTTTTTCAAAGTGCAGTGATCCACCCTACACAACTATACCCAGGAAGAAACAACAACAAAAAAGGAAGCAAAAGATTAAAAAAAGATTAACTTTATTTCTCTCGTCCATATATTGTTGCTTCACCAAAGTTAATTTTTTAAAAAATGTATATATTTATTAATCCTGGAAATATTTTTTTCAAACTGAGTCCCTCCTAATTTCTGGGCAAAGGTCATGAAAGATGTCTGTGTTTCTATATTACCATCACAACTCTAAGAGCTTCAATTTATTATTTTAATTCAATACCCTCCAAATACTAATCTTTTTATTTCCCACCATTGCTTATTAATATGTAACTCTTCCACCCACACTTTTTTTCTCTTACATAATGGGAGCTTATATTAATGATCTCCCATTTACCAAAAGATTTCTAAAATTATATTAATCTACAGGAAGAACAGGGATTTGCCATGAATTTCTTGAAGGCATCCTTCACATCCTTATTCCGCAGGCTGTAGATCATGGGATTCAGCATAGGGATCACCAGTGTGTAAAACACAGAAGCCACTTTGTCAGTATCTAAGGAGTGGTTAGTTTGAGGTTGCACATACATGAACAGCATTGTCCCATAGAAAACTGTGACAGCCATCATATGTGAACCACAGGTGGAAAAGGCTTTTTTCCTTCCTTCTGATGAATGTATCCTTAGAATGGAGAAAACTATGTTGAAATACGATACTAGAACAGTAATCATGGACAAAACCAAATTCGTTGCTGCAGATATAAAGACGATTGTTTCTGGTAAGTAAGTATCAGAACAGGACAATGCTAAAAGAGGTGCAATATCACAGTAAAAATGATTAACTACATTAGAAGAGCAATAAGACACAGAGAATATACAGGGTGAAACCACAACAGCTGTAGAAAAGCCATAGAGGTATGTGAGGGACACCAGCAGAAGGCAGATCTTGCGAGATACCACCACCATGTAGAGCAGGGGATTACAGATGGCCACATAGCGGTCATAGGCCATCACAGCTAGCATGATCACCTCTGATACAATGAAAAACAGGAACCCTCCCAGTTGGGTGGCACATTCATAGTATGAGGTGGCTTTTTTCTTTACTAAAAAATTGATTAGCATTTTAGGGGCAATGACGGTAGAATTGCCAAGGTTGATGATAGCTAAATGTCTCAGGAAAAAATACATGGGGGTTTGAAGTCGAGAGTCAACACTGGTGAGGGTGATGATGCCCAGGTTTCCTGACACAGTCAGCCCATAGATCAGCAGGAAGACCAGGAAGAGGGGAATCTGGAGCTCTGGACGGTCTGAGACACCTGTGAGAATAAACTCAGTGACCCGGCTGAAATTTCCAGGACCCATGTAGGAGTTTGGGAATTCATCTGTTTGGGCAAGAAAAGAAAACATGTTTACAGACTTTAAGGAGTTATTTTCTAAGACTACCAGAAAATTTCTAGGATGGCAAGGGCATTTTCTTGGGTGAGATCCTCAAGTCATGTATTAATGTAACACAGTTTTTAAACTTAAGGTTCTATGTTCAATGAATGGGACTTGCAATCGTATGGGAGAGGGAAAAAAAGTGTGGAAATTAAGTATGGTAAGTTAAATAGATGCTCCAGCATAATGCAACATTTTTAGAATTTACTCCCTTGCAATCTAATGGAATTATAAATGAGTTCTTAATTTGGAAACACGTGGGGTCAGGACTTAACTGATGTCTTTTGCACTGAGCAAGCAAAAGGCTTGACGAATTGTGTGTCCCCAAATAATTCAAGGGCTACTTTCAGTACCTTAATCTGAGACTTCTTGCATTTTCAAAAACCAGATGATTCTAGGTACTATCTCATTTCTATTTTTAAAATTCTATCTTTCTATAACATGCATTTGCAAATTCCATCATCCATGTCTGTCACCTGCTTTTTATCACTTTCCATTTTATTAACTTAGACAAAAATACATGGGGATTTGTCATCAGATCTATTTTTAGGTTACTGATTCTCTCTCTTTTTATCTTTCAATAAATATCATCAGTGAAAATTTTATCATCTTTGTATTTCCTTGACATTACACTTTACTAGATACTGTGTCCTATTCCTTCCCTGTGTCATTACTTTTTTCCTCTTATCCCACAAGTTTGTATAATTCTTTATATTATTTCCATTGTTTTTATTTTTGTCAGTATTTTATTAATAAAATGTTATCTTTAATTCACAAAATATATCTGATCTTAATTTTAGTTTAACTTTTAAACACAAATCTTTATTTGTTATAATAAAAATAAACATCCTTATTTCATAGAGTTTCTATGGCAATTATATTGCATACATTTGCTACAGATTCAGCATGCTATTTTAATATGGCTGAATATTTTCTTAAAGTTGTTTATTTTAAGGAATATTGTCTGCCTCTGATTAAGTCAATTGGAGTCTGTTTGCAGTCATAATTGATAGTCCAGTGGTAAGAACCTGGCCTAAAGAAGTTATGTCATAATTCCTAATATAAAAATTTGTAATTGCATTCCAGAGAGTCAAGACTATGGCATCATCCATGTCTAAACTTTAAAAACCCAGAGCTCTTGACATATTTTTTTTTTTAATTTCTTCTCTAGCCCAGGTTCTGGTCCAAGATATTTTCTTTCCTTCTGAATAGGATAGAATAGAAATAAAAATAAATAATACTTCTGCAGTGATAAAAAAGAATAAAGTAGTAATATAAAAAGAATCAGAGAAATAAGATCAAGATGATTCCTAACGTTGTTGAATGCCTGATATGCTTCTTTTTGACACCAAACATCTTTCTTTACCTTGGTATCTGTGAATCATATTATTAACATTTGTCACCTATTTACTAAATTTCTGCTTTTTGGCAGACAATGTTCAAGCTTTAAATGAATGACTTGTCCTTCACAGCATGGCTAAGCTATAATAATGATACAGAAGAAACAAACATATATTAAAATTGTATAAACAAGGTAATTGTAAGTTGTAATATGTAAATGAACAAGAAGATACAGTGGGGTAACCTAGGGCAGTGATTTTACAAGGAACATTAAGGAAAGCTTTCTGAGAAAGTGGCATTTGAAATGAAACCTAAAGACTGAGAAGGGATCAGCTATATAATGAATCATGGAAGAACATTCTAGGATTTCAGGCAACAGGGAATTTTCTGAAAACGCTGCTCTGTAGTAGAAATGTGGCATTTGCCACATTTGTCCTTAATGCCTGTGAATCACTGCTTCTTATGATCTCTCGATCATACATCAGAAAAACCTTCTGACCATTCTGAATACTCATAAATACTTTATGGTGAGTCATCAAAAGAAACCCAGCAGACAGAAGAATACAAATTAATATCAAGAACAAGAACTCAAGAAAATTCTTTCTCTGCCAGGCAAGATTCTAAGCACTTTGCAGATATTAACTCATAAGAGCAGCACAATAACTCTAGGAAGTGTATAGTAACACCTTCCCTATTTTAGAGACAAGGAAACTGAGGCAGGGATACTTAACCAACTTCACTCAGATTATAAGTGCTGGAGGCAGGGTTCAAATAAAGTCATTCCATCTTCAGAATGTGTTCTCATAAACACTATAGCATGCCACCTCTCTATTAGGAGAACTCTGTGTAGATAGGAAATGAATGTGATCTATGTTTTGTAGACAAAGATCCTCATTAAAATAGATGACTGAAGCTTCAAGTTAATTTGAAAACTAAGGTGGTATAAATAATGAACAACACAGAATACTGGAGACTGGATAACAGTTCTGTCCTGCACACTAATCCAATTGAGGACAGAACAGTATATTTCAAATGAAAAAACAAAAGCAACAAACAGTTTTTCAGAGTACAGGGACCTTCAAGATGTTTGGTGATAACCTAGTTTAGCTATATGCTCTGAGAAATTTTCTAAGGCCAATGTTTTACTCACCTTAATGGAGAATCTGTTTTGGCTTCCTACATTTTATTCCTCACAGGTTATTACAAATAGATTTTAAGTTTTTCTCTACTCCCTTGAGATTCATTATGTGGATGTTTTAATCTGATTCAAGGGTAAATTACACATAATTAATTACCCAAGGGAGAATGCTTTCTGTATATGTTAATTATTCTTAGAATGTTCCATTAAAAAAGTCAAAATATTTCAATCCAACTGAATAAATAAATTATGCAATATAACTAAATATTGAAGATAATGCCTTTGTCAGCATCTCAGTTACATGATATTATATACATATTAGATATACCTCTGCACACACAGAGACATGCAATTCTTGAGTAAATGAAAGAATGATTTATTTGAAAATCTTTATCTTAATACAATCTAATAAATGATATTGTCAATACATTTTTTTTAAGTTCTCTAACTTCCTCTTCGCTTGGAATATCTAAATGCCACATTCAACTTTCACAAATCAAGTAGGTATAGTACATCAATTTAATTCATAGAATTTAATGGTGTAAAACACAAAATTCCAGGAAATACCAGTTAAAAAAGTAAATACTGAGTTGAGTTTTTCCAGTGTATTTGAAGGCATCAGCTGTCAGTGGCCATAATAGTGTCATAATCAGAAGACAGTAGTAATGCACAATTACAAAATCCAGGTGATTATCAAAATCAAAGACAATTCATATCCATTCACCTTCAGTGGAGAATCATATTTTCTTCTAAAAAATTACTTTTTCTTTGCATAGGAAGAATTTATAGTTTTACTCCTTCTTTGTGATGTTTGTTCCCTGACGAAATAGTACATAATTCGTTCAGATGATTATGTACAAATAAACTGAGAGGCTTAAAAATTGCTTTGATGGCATCCTACATATTCTACTGTGAGAAAGTGTAATGGAAAATTCACGAAAGGAAACAAAAGAGCATAAATGATCTGAACAGTTCTGTGGAGACTTAAGTTAAAGATACACACAGACAAATGTTATGGTAAAAAACAAAAATAATTTGATACCAGCTTTATCTCTATAAAAATAGGGAATAGTTAAAATTACATTTATCATATTTGATGTTTGGCATATTAACATTATCAAGATATATAAATTATTTTCATGTTACCTACTGAATTATTTTATGTTATATTTTCACATTTATTTTTAATTTTATTTACTATGTATAATAAAAACCATATTGTAGAATAGATTTATTTAATACATTGAAAAGAATGACCTTGGATTTAGATTGACTATGAATCTCACCAAAAACAAATCAATAGATTCAGGCTGCATCAAATTTACTTGATTTTAATAAAGAATACAAGATAGATGTAACAGCACTCATAAGTGAAACTGTAGTAGATGTCTACTGACCTTCAACATCTACTGTATGGTTTCTTCAGTTTTAGCTCTTGATAGTCACAGAGATTCCTCATATGTTTTGTACAACACAACCTGCTATGAAATGGATTTCTATTTATAATTATTTGGAAGTATATTTCCATTTACCTATTTTCCAAAGTATCCCCTATAAATTCATTGAGTTAATTCTGGATGTGATATCCATCAAGAAGAGATCTTTCAGTGCCCCTGAGGGTAGAAGTAATAATACAAATCAGCTGCTAAGTCATTGCTTTTATTTTTTTCTTTTTTTAAACCCTGAACTTTTCTTTTGTCATTAGCTCTTTCTCAAATATTCCTTAGACGTTTTTAAAATTTGTATTATGGCAGTTTCTACAATATTTTATTCACAAAAGTGGATAAAAATGGTGACCACTCATAGAACCTGCATTGTTAAGTGTGAAGTTGGGCACATGCACACACACACACACATTTGTGAGTAAATGAGAGAATGAAATACTAGAAGAAAAGATTAGGAAATATTTATTCATATAACATTCATTAACTAAGAATATAGTAGTTGAATATATAATTTTGCTGGATATATAATTATAGATTCATGTTAAGACAATGTCTTATGACATGTCTCTTCCAAGGCAATAGTTTTAAGTCATTTCTTTATCTATTTACTGTGTATCTTTAAAGTACAGTTGTTCTTAAGGATGAGTGCCTTCTGATTTTTCTAAAGATCATTGTGTGTATTCTTGTAGTTTTAATCCAGTATTTAGTTTTCTCTTTGGTTTCCTTTAGAGTAGGCTCTATTATGATGTGTATACATTCAGTTATCTATTATTTTTCAATGTGTGATATGCTATTATTATCTATCAATAAATATTCATTCATGTCTTATATTTTAATTTTCAATATTTATTTTTAATATTTTGAATACTAAATAGTTATGCATTTGTATGGGATGCATGTGATATTTTGATACAAATGTACAATGTATAATGATCAAATCTGGATAATTTGGATATTAGTCATCTCAAACATTTATCATTATCTTGTGTTGGGATCATTCCACATCTGTTCCTCGTTATTTTTAAATATACAATGAATTATTGGTAACTATAGTTGCCCAATTTTCCTATTGAACACTAGACCTTATTCCTTCTATCTAACTGTATGTTTGTACCCATTGAGCAATTCCTCTTTATTCCTTCCCTCCCCACTAATGTTCTCAGCCTTTAGTAACTACTATTATATACACTACCTCCATGGGATCAATTATTTTAGCTCCCTCATATGAATGAAAACATGAACACAAATTTGTCAAAAACTTCTATGCTAAGTTTTTGACACCCATCAAGTAGAAAGTTTTCTCAACTTTTTTACAGTAAGAGTTGTGTAAGTTGAGCCAGTTAAGATGTCTATAGTGTTGGCTGTTGTTTCTCCTGTTAATTGTCGTCTTGAGTTATGGCACAGAGGAGATGATATTTTTCCTTGCCAATTCCCATGGATGATCTGCCACTGCAGGCGTCATCTTCAACACCGTCTCATCTCTTCTTAAAACGACTTATCCATTTGTAAACTGATGATTTCTTTGGGA